GATATAATGTTTGCAGAGGAAGATGCCTTTTAGTTTATAAATTATTTGCATAATTCGTGACAGTTCTCACATCTGCTACTATAAAATTCATTGCAGCTTCTCTGCCTCTTGGGAAAAAAAACGCATTTAATTATCAGTGAAATTCAACTTCAGCTTGTTATGATGAATGATTTGAACCTGTCAGCTTTTTCTCCTTAAAAACAAAAGAACTGAAATGAAAAACAGTCTTATTCCTCTACCCCCTTCATTCCACCTGCTTCCTTTAATTGATGAAGGTTTGAGCTTTTATTAATCTCTTTGAGCTCTTCTGTAAGATGCAGAAAAAGCTAATATGATATCATTGTATCTAGCTAATGTGTGTGCTTTGTGAAATTGATACACCCTGCCAAGACATAAATTACTTAAGCTTTGATAAATGTGTTGAAATCAGGGGACGTTCAAACAGATAAAATTACAGAAATTCCTATCTTCCCCTTTGTAAAACTCCATTCTGTGCTTGTGGTTAAATGTTTTTTGCATACTTAGTGTAATATGATGAGACACAAGACAGCAGTGATACGGAAATCAGCACAAAGAGCCCCAGGAAGTACACAAGTAACCAGGGGTGTACAACCCTGTGTTTGGAGATAGCACCTAACAATCTTGCCTTGGAGAGAGAGGTTTGCCAATAGTTTGAGAATCACCTATAGTCTTCTCCCAGCACAGTGTGTCACAGAAATTGTTCAGGAATGAGCTGCCTGCAGGTGTGTTGTACCATCAGCTCCCCTTGCTGACTCACTTAGCAGGTTGGAATGAAAGATCTACAAACACATTTTGTTGACACAGAGCTCACCTGCGCTGTGATCTGGCTGTGATTCAGATACCAAGCGAGACTGGAAACATGAGAAAATATTTGATTGATGTTTTAGGATTGAGAGGGTTGATTTCTACTTGGTTCTTAATTTATCACATAACACAAGACAAGCTCTTAATTAAGCATTCGTTGGTCAGCTGAGGGCTTGAGAGTTCATAGAACCCTTTGAAGATACTTCTTGAGCAGGAAGCACAAGACTCTTCATTGGACTATGGAAGAGCCATCGTCATTGAATACGTTTCCACAGGATTAGTATCCATCTATTCATTTATTTTTCTTTATAAACATCCAGCATAGGACAGGTGGATAGGAAAAGGTGGATAGGTTAGAGCTCAGGTCATGCACTTAAGTATCGAAGTCATCAGTAACTGATCCTATGCTTTCTCCCCTGTATCACTTTGCTCCCTAAGTGAGAGTATGTGGGTAAAGAGGGGCAGGTTGCAGCTCATTGGGCCCCATCTTCCATGATCAGTTCTTCTGAGGTTAAGTGTGAGCCTTTGAAATTTTACATCATACAGTTGTCTACACTGACCTGGTAGAGTAAATGATGCCTTCTTAGCAGTGTGCTATAAAGTGATGATTTATAACAAGAGGATGTCTGGATGAATTACATAAAAAGGAGAAAAAGGTAGAGGAGATTTTAAAAGCACAGAAATATATTTACCCTTTGAATTACACTCTTTTACTAGTACATCATTACCTGATAGCTCAGGGTGGGGCCTGGATATTAAAACCAGGGCTTTCCACAGTAAACTAAGTCTCCAACCATGTGTTTTGTTTTGTTTTGTTAATTTTGGGACAAGGATTCACTAAGTTACACAGGCTAAAATTGAACTTGTGACTCTCCTGCCTGAGCTTCCCATAGTGCTAGGATTACAGGTGTGCAGCATCACCCCAGCTAGCTTTTAAAGATTTTAACTTAATTGCTTCTTGGTCTTTTGGCTAAGATCAAGTGATGATTTTAACTTAGATTTAGAAATCAGTACTTGTGATAACTGTGCATATATTTTAAATTAATAAACATATAAAATTATACACAGCCTCTCTCAACTTGACTAATGTTGTCAAAGCAGGTTAGAAATATGGGATCAGATAAAGAAAAATATTAAGTGTAGAAATACTTATACAATATGTATATAATACGTAGATACATAGTACATATGATTTTTATCTAAACAGCTGCCAGTAAGTATGACGTATGTTCACTTCAAGGTAGGAAGATTTTATATATATATATATATATATATATATATATCACCCTTGTAATCAAGGACTCCTTGAGCAAATTTGGGCCAGAAGTATAGTGTGCTAGAATGAATATTTTAGAAATCAAGTTTCATCTCAAAGTCTCATCTGGAGAATCTTTTCTGAAGAGTTAAAGTACCTTCATAAAAGCATATATATAATTTCTCATTTAACTATTTGATAGGCTTAGTTGGCTTTTGTATGGTTTAGTTTGTTTTTTTGTTGTTGTGGTTGTTTTGAATTTTGGGTTTTTTGGTACTGGAAATTGAACTCGGGACTTCATGTTTGCCAGACAGAAGATGCATCATTTAGCTAAATCCCCACCCCTTGGTTTAGGTTGGTTTTTTTGTTTGTTTTTTATGCTCATGTTTGAGTTGAGTCACATATGTTTGGGTAAAGTTCAGTTACAAATTAATTATTCCCAGAAAAATCTTCATATCTGTAAAAATATTTCAGTAAAAGGCTACTTAGTTATTAGTTTTGAATGAACTCAGAACTCTCAGAAATCCTAAAAATAAGGCAGGTGTTTTATTACATATGGGAGTTTATCAGGTGTTCTAAAATGCAACAAAATCAGCTAAGTTAAATCTACATCATTACTTACAGGTTTTCAATAACAGAAAGTCAGTAGAAAATCAAGCATTAACACTCAAAAGAATCAAGAGAAGGGATCCAGGTAGGGAGGAAGGAAAGAGGAGCAGACTTTCCATACTTGAAATTGAAAAAAATATTTTTAAATGTAAAATGCATCTTAGTTCTTTAATAAATATTAATTGGTAGAATGTAGGATAAAGATAAGAAGTGAGGGTTTTAAGGGAAAATGTCAGAAGGGATTTAGTCCATGGAAGACAAGAAGGTCAGCAGGGGAATTTGGAAACTACCGAAACAAGGAATAGAGATAGGGAAGCAAAGGAGCATTTCTTAAAACAGAAGATACTCAGCAAATGGTAGATGTATCTGTCAGCATTTGTGAAGCAAAACAAAGCCCATGAAATACTGGGGGGAAGTGCAAAACAAGTGATAGACTAGATAAAAAGAACTGTCGCCACAAAGAAGAAATATTAAATCATGGTCTGCCAAGAACCATGGGGTTCTTGTCTGCTCATTTGGTCTAGGCCCTTTCTCTGAAGAGAGATCAGGACATGCAGGTCAACTCATCTGTAGCAATTTTAGGAAACTCAAGTCAAAACCAGGGCAGAGTACTGAATTCCATAGGCTATTACCAACTGATTGGTGCACATCATCATTTTAGAGTTTAAAAAGCCGCAGTTGCAGTGTCAGTCATATTTTGCAGCAAAAATCCTGAATAATAATCCCTCTTTTCCTGGTTAATATGTCATCCTTACAACACCAGGAAAAAGGAAAGCAACATCAATTCAGGGCATGCACACCCATGAGAAGAAGTCAGATGGTTTTTGGATTCTCTTAAAAGTAAGACCATGCAGCATATCAACTTGCCCTTCTGCAAGCCTCAATAATGTTAGAGAAGAGAAAATGATTTTTAAATCTCCAGAAATTAGGAAGACACTGCTCCATAAAAATCAAAGGAAAGGATATACTATATAACACCCCTCCACCATCCCACCACTCATAAGTTTTGTGTCCTTGCAATCTCTTACTCTAAAGCACTTTTAGGACTAGGTGTTAAGTGAAAACACTTTCATGGACTCCTGTCAGAACTTAAACTTCTACTTTTATGAACATACAAAAGAAAGTTGTAATCAAATCATGCTATTATAGGTAAGCACAATATTTATAATGCCCATTTTTAAAAGTGAATTTAAGCAATGGTTCCTGAAATGATCTGAGTTATAGAGTGCTTGGCCAAATTTGAAAAGACTGGTGAAACAACACATAAACATAGCCCCCTTCCTTTTCAACCTTTTCCTTAGGCTTACAGCTTTCCAGAGAATCATTACAGAAGTAATCTGTGCCATTAGAAATAAAAGGCTATCTGTATGTCTACCAGAAACCTCTATTTTCCATACTTTATAACTCACCCATAAATATTTGCTCCAAGCAACAGTTTCATATATAATGATTCTGACCCTTAAAATTAATACCGATTTAACTAAATGATTTTCGAGAATCATGAGGATTCTCATACTACAAAAAAGAGTAAAAAAGAAAATCAGATGCAAATGGGGAATGTCAGTATGGTTTGAACCAAAATTCAGTGGAACCCATAAAAGACAGCACATTGCTCTTTCTTAGTAATTCTATCTTTTAGATATAATTTTACTGTTATTTTAACTTCTAAATCATATAGTCTATTAATTAAATTATACCTTTTCACAACCCTGTTTATATAAAGGCCACTTAATATATCATTGTTTTCAAGTTAGGCTTTCATACAATTTCTAAATGTAATCACATGCCTTTTTTGTTCAAGGTAGACTTGTATGAAAAGCTATCAAATGATAATTTAAGCCTTTGAATGTAGTAAGATCTTAGTCTTTCCAAATATTTTTAAGAGATTTACCAATATCTTATATTGAAATGGCTTACAGCTGTTCTAAGTAGAAATTTTCAGCATTTAAACTTGTCTTTTACTCAATGAAATATCTCATGAATTGAATGACTTGATCACAAGAGGAGCCAAGAACATACTGCTTTTCCCAGTCTGGAAGAGAAAACTGTAAAGATTAGCAAACAGTAAAATCAGATCTGTCCATTATAATGAAATATCCTCTTCTTCACCTCGCTGTTTCAGTTTTTGTTCTCAGACTTTTATATTGCTGGAATTAAGTGCTCATCTCAGGACACTGTTGAGCCCAGCTCCCTGTGTATGTTATTCAGCAAGAATCTTAATATTGGAAGTTTCCCTTCTCCTTTGCCCTCAGGCTGTGTGTGGGCTGAAACCCTAACCTGAAGTTTCTCTCTCTCTTTCCTTTCCCCACAGCTATTTTGTGACTGTAAAGAGGTGGTACATGCCACAGAGGGTCTGGATTGGGAAGACAAAGATGCCCCTGGAACACTGGTTGGAAATGTGGTACATTCAAGGATCATCAGTCCTCTGCGCCTGTTTGTTAAACAGTCTCCAGTGCCAAAGCCTGGCCCTATGGCGTATGCAGACAGCGTGGAAAATTTTTGGGATTGGCTGGCCAACATCACGGACATTCAGGAGCCACTAGCAAGAACTAAACGGCGACCAATAGTAAAGACAGGAAAATTTAAGAAAATGTTTGGATGGGGTGACTTTCATTCCAACATTAAAACTGTCAAACTCAACCTTCTCATTACAGGGAAAATTGTCGACCATGGAAATGGAACTTTCAGTGTTTATTTCCGACATAATTCAACAGGCCTGGGTAACGTTTCAGTGAGCTTGGTACCTCCTTCCAAAGTGGTGGAATTTGAAGTTTCTCCCCAGTCTACCTTGGAGACCAAGGAATCCAAATCTTTCAATTGTCGCATTGAGTATGAAAAAACAGATCGGGCAAAGAAGACTGCCCTATGCAACTTTGACCCATCTAAGATCTGCTACCAGGAGCAGACTCAGAGCCATGTGTCTTGGTTGTGCTCTAAACCCTTCAAGGTCATTTGCATTTACATCGCCTTTTATAGTGTTGATTATAAACTTGTGCAGAAGGTTTGTCCTGATTATAATTACCATAGTGAGACCCCATACCTATCTTCTGGCTGAATCTTCCCACAGTGATGAAAATGGAGGACATTTGTATATTTAATTAGAATGACCAAGAAACCAGTCCAGTTTTTCATAGTAAAGGATCCCTTTTGTTTCTGGCAGTGAACTGTAGTTCCCTATGAGGTTTTCAGATTAAAAGGAAAACATATTCAAATGTGAAACATGTTTGTTTCAATCATAACGTACCTTTAACTTAATGTCAAACTACTTAGGAAACCATCACATTCATTTAAGATGGTTAAAGTCTAAATATTATTGTTTAAAAGAAACATCAAAAGTGACTACATGTGATGGGAAGAAACCAAATTATGTGTGTCCTAAACATGGCTCTTGAAATAAGCCTGCCTTTGAGATGTATTTTGAAAGGTTAACTTAAAAAATAACAGATTCAGTCAAGTAGCTGAAAAAAATTTTATTTAATAAGTGATGGTTTTTCCAACATTGAACCTATTTTTTTTACTATGTCTTTCCCCACATCTGTGCAGTACTGATATGAGATGTGGACAGGTAAAATTTGTTTCAAAACACTTGTGTGAAGTTATAGTGGAACCAAAAACATTACCATGTGAGCTAGAGTTGAATGGAGTGTGATCTAAGCATTTAGCCTTGTGTTAGTCAGCACCCTCGTGATTCTCAACCTGAGCTGAGCAGTAATACTGGTGCCTGAGAAAGCAAATCGGGATCGTCAGTCAGAATCCAGTGAAGATTATAATGTTATTAGACCCTTTTACCACAAGATTATAATGTTATTAGACCCTTTTACCAAATTATAAAAATATTCACCCTAGTGTTTAGGACCCATTCTATTCATTTGATAGAATATATAATGGAATGTGGGGGATGGGGGATATGGAATAGAGGGAAAATATTCTAGGATTATGGATTCATAAATTCTTGCCTCCCAGATTAAGTTTTCCTTTCATTTACTATGGGGATCACATTCTAGGTGGGAATAAAACCTGTTGTATTTAAACATTTTTAATTATTTAGCACAGAAAACCAAGATTGCTAGCTCACTAGCCTTTTGAAATTATTTCCAAATTAATATCATTTTAAAAATCATCCTTTTTGTCTTCTTTGTATGATAGAATTGAATGATCACTGCAATAGCACAGAAAGAGGGTCTGACTGGGCAGGAAAAGACTTCTAGGATTCAGGAGTCATGAAATGGTTACTTTTTACAATAAGTTTTCACTTCTTTCCCCCTTCTCTATGACACATCAATTGAGGAATAAAGAAAGATAATTCTTAAATAACAAAATGTTTGTACCACACTGTTTAGAAAGTCAGCAGGTCTGTCCTCTATTTTACATCTCCATTTCTTTTCTTTTACTAGTGATATCTTCGCGGTGTTTGATTTTGTCTTTTGTAAAAATTGTTCTACACTTAGTATGTGATAGTACAGGCTTGACGTTTTTGCTCTGAATTCATCAGGTGCTTTTGTAATTTTGTGATTGGTGAGTAATATTGTGAAACATCTTTTTATTTTCATCTAGAAACCAGAGTATTATTTATTGCAAAATATATGGGACCTATAAATGTATATATACTTAGATTTTTCTGTGTACAGAAAAAGTACATGTACACATTTCTATGTAAATAAAAAGAATTTGCTAGATCTGTCCCATATTTTCAGAGTGGTTATTTTTAAAAGATGCTTTGTTCTTGTTTCCTTTTTCTCACCAGGATTTATTCTCTGTGTGTAGAATGTCAATTGTTCATTTATATTTCCTTATGTTCATATTAAACAGGACACATTGGCTATGGAAATGATTAGATAGTCAAAGAGTAATTCACAGAAAGCATATTTTATATAGTCTGATACCTAGTAAGAACTTTATAAATGTGAGATGCCATTATTATTTTTGTTATCACTATAACATTAAATGATATTTAAAATTATCTGATGTTGAGCTGAGAGTTTTAAACATTGCTCTATGCAAAAGAAAAAAAACCTGCAAATTGATTTATATAGTCTTTAGATTTTAGCAGGAATTATGACAATTTTTTTCTGTTTAAATTTTTCACAGGCATATTTTAAATTGGAGTAGAACATATGCCACATGTATTTCTAAGTCATAATTTCATTTCAAAGTGTATATTATTGTCAGTGATGGTACTTGCCGCAATATAAATCAGACCGCATTTAAATATGTAAATGCACACATTTCTAAAATACCCATTTTTGCCTTTTAGTACTGCAGATGAAGAAAAAGACATTCATAAAAGGTAATTTTCCATCCAGTCACAAATTGTTCAAAAATAAAACACAGAATTTTTTAAAAATTTAAAATTCCATCAATAATTAACAGTTAAAGAAAAGTAGGTTACCCCAATATTAATGTAGAGAAGAGCAATATTTCCAATAGTGTACCCTACACTGTCATCTTGATCCCTCTTATTTAAAAGACAGTTATACCCAGGTCCTCTTGAGGGTAAAGAATTTGCCTATTTGTAAATGGAAAACCCAGCTGAAATACATTCCACCTGACTGCTAGTGTCTGGTCCTCTATTACAAAAGAAAGGGAATTTGAAGCAGCACTCAAGATGACAAGATTTACAATGAGTTCATACAAAGACATGGCCCAGAAACCAAAACTGAACGTGAAAATGGTCTGAAACATTCTCGTTCTAAAATCTTCAATACTGTAATTTTTTATGAACACGGTGTTTTTTTAAAACTACATATATTATAGGGAAAAATGTCATAATAGAGCCATTATATCCAAATGCAAGAGTCCTGTAATACATTAGACATATTGCTGGTTAAGAATTAATAGTAGTTGAACATTACATTTGCTGGAGTTTTCAGATGGTTATAGCACCTGACAATATATTTTCATCAAAATTGTATGGAGTGCCTCAATTCCCTGAAGGTTTTATGTTACATCATGAAGGATATTGTATTAACTATCTACTCTATAAAATAGAGTAACTGCATTTTTACTTGCAGTAAAACGATAGCTACCTCAAAATTAATCAGAACTTTCCATGAATGTTAATTTAATATAACCAATTGTACAAGACAAATTACAGGAAAGCAGCCTCCCATTAGAGATCTTTTTTTCTTCAGAAATCCTGTAGAAGGTATTCAAAGCTCTCACCCCAATCTCCTACTGCATACTGAGGTCTGGAACTCTGGGAGCATTCCATTCTTCTTCATTTTCAAACTTCCCTTTTCTTAACTCAAATCTGGTTCCCTATAAGTAGTATGCAATCGATTTCTCTAAAAGAAGGAGCTAACTCCTGTATATCCCCCGCAGAACCTAGCAAAGATTCCAGTTTGTAATGAAGTATAAAGATACTCCAGAGAAACGACACAATGGGATATGGAGAAATACATGAGATTTATTATGGAAATTTGCTTACAATTACTGAGGTCAATAAGTCCCATAACATACCACCTACAAACCAAAGAACCAGGAGATGAGCTAATATAATTTCAAACCCAAAGACCTACATCAGGAGCTCTGATATCCGAGACCAGGAGAATATATGCACCCCAGCTCAAAAGGACACCAAGAGTCCTCCTGTCCTCCACCACTGTATTTTATCCAGTGGCTAAATGGATTGAATGATGCCCATCCAAAGAGGTGATGGTGAGTTTTTACTTGTCTACTGATTTCAGTGCTAATCTCTTCCTGAAAGTCCTCACAGATGCACCCCAAAATACTGTTTTACTAGCCAAATATGTCTTAGCTCAGTAAGCTTGACAGATGAAATTAACCACCACAAGTAGATATTTGTTACTTGAATTTTATCAATCTCTAGTGGAATACAATGATTTATTCAAGATCCATTCTACCCATACGAGAGGTACAAGTTATCTTGCACTATTTCCAATATGAACACCTTATTCCAGCTGAACAAAATACCCACTGAAAATTAGCTCCCAGAACCACAGAAAACTACAATTTTAAAATTAATCTGTAATAAGGCTTATCAGCTAAAAAGCTGGAACCTTATGAGGTAAGTCACCTGGTTATTATTTTTCTTGTCTGGGTAAGGCCATTCATCCTTATTCCTTGAAATCACTGGTGTTTTGTTTCAATGATAGAGTCTTCCAGCTGTCCGTCAAAACATGTCCTACTTCTCTCTGCGATGGAAAATGTTCCTGGTCAACTGGACTGTACCCAATGCTGCTTACATAGTGAGCTGTGGCCTCTTTGCTGAGCTGCAGTTAATTGAGTTGTGAGAGGAAGAGATGTATACAGTTTCAAGAATGGACTCAGGCTCTTTTATGTTCTTTTCCATCTTTTCCCTAGATGGATACTCTGAGGAACACATAGAAACAGGCAAAGCAACTACTATTCTGAGTGCTTGTAGATCATAGGAGAGAGTTACTCAACTATGCCCAAAGCTACCCTGAACTGCTGTATGACAGATTAACAAATGCAGTGCTCTTTAAATTACTGAAATTTTAGAGTGAATTTGTTACTACTGCTCCTCATTATACAGCTAAAACAAATATTGTTTGAAATCTCTGTAACCTGGCTTACCCCAATCCTTTTTTTTTTTAATTGTTCCTTTCAGTTTCTGTACAGGAAGCATTGCAATAAAAAATTTCATATGCAAAATTTGCTTGTCATATTATATAAATATCTCCATGTGTTCTATCAGCCCGAAGATAAAGGTAGGTTCACCAAAGTCAAAAATCATATTCTATGCTTACTTGAATACCCCATTATTCCAAGTAAAGCTGTTGTCTTATATATGGCATTGGAAGATGAGACAGGAAGATATTTTCCTAAAACATTTATTTCACAAAAACGTTGATTTCAAATATAAATAGTGGAGAATTCTTAAAAGATAAAACAAAAATTCAAGAATTGTGTTAATTCTGTGTCATATAAGGAATAAAAAATTAAAATAACTTGTTTCTCATCTTTGTTTTTGTTGATAATGCATTTACAAGGGTTCATGATTTTATGTGTATACTTTTTTATAATTATTATGTGTGAAAAACAATTTCAATAAGGCACCAACAGAGTTTAGAGCTGAAGTTCTCTTTCCAGCTTCTTTTCCCTACTTGGCTTGTTTCCTTCTCCAAATGAAAACCAAAGTATAAATTTCTTATGTATCATGGTGGGGATCAATTAATAATATTGCTTTGAAATATCTTAAAAGATTAATTCTTTTAGTTTTTAAAGATCTTCTGTTTTATGTAAACACTGATTAGTTGAAGCATTTTATTAGTAAAAGCATTTATCATTTTTCTCTTTTTCAATTTAACAAATCATTCATAAAAATAAAATTTTAATTTAAAATGACTGAATTTTTTCACTGATTAACTTAATATATTTGATTTTCTATCCCATCTTTAACCATGTAGAGAGATTATATAGAGTTTTATGAAGTAAACACTAAAGTTAATGTAATAAATAAACCACACATCTGATATATAAAGCTAGAAGGGAATGGTTCAAAGATGCTAAGAACATTTCCTGAACAGACAGTGTAGGAAACAGTACATGGCTCAGTAGAAAGTTATGAATGAAACACCTTGGCATTACGCGTGTAATGTGACGCCCTCTGTCTTCTCTTTCATACTGTCTACTCTATGACAAATAAAGAGAGAAAGATCCAATTGAATTATTGTAGTCTCTGTAGTCTTTGAAGCATAAAATAATTTTGCAGAATTTATTTGGTTCAAAACAGAGATTACAAATGCTATTTAAAAGGATTAAGTCCAGATCCCAGTCTCAATAGAATCTGGGACCAATGTATTCTTTGAGGCCCTGTGGCATCCACTGTGGCAAATAAAGACCATCACAATTGTATTCCCACTCTGCTCACTTTGAAAGAACCATGAAAAATCAGCATTTTTATAAGTAAAAGGGATTTTTATGGGGAAAAAAACCAATCTTCATTTATTCCTATTTTATTCCACCAACATCCTAGATTCTTTACAAGTAAATGCAGATTTTGGAGTTAGTTCAATATGGGTTTATGTCTTGAATCTACCGTTTAATAGCAGTGCCATCCTAAGCCAATTACTAAATTACTCTGATTCTCAGTTTTCTCATCTGTATAATGGAGTTATGCTACTTGCCTCACTCACAGTTTTTGAAATACAAGTAAATATCACAGGTTATGAGCAATAAGAGATGGCATTAATTTTAAATAGTAATATTCCTTTGTGTTATTTTTGTCCCTAAAACCTTTATACAGCATTAACATACCAAGAGTGATATGACTAATTAGACTTTGTTTTTGTTCAAAAATCTCCCTCAAGAATTATCTGGTAAACCAGTCAGTGAAAATATCTTTAGGTTTAAAATTGTATATGCATGTAAACAGGTAGATGAATTTCTGAGGTACCTTCATAGTGATAATGACATAAAATGTTCCCTTTCTGTTTGGAAAAAAATGAACATTTAGACATTATATCTTACAAAGAGAAAATCAAGGACTTAAAAAACAAGAAACTTCATCACAGAAAGCTCAGATAGCCTTGAAGTAAAAAGTAGACATTACACCCAACAAAAAAGTTTTTAAAAAAACATTAATTTTACTGAGCTACTAAATATGGATAATAAAATATCAATCACTAAAGTGAAGCTTACAGAAAAGTTCAATCTAATGTGGTAGGCATGTAGGATATAGTTTTAAATAACTAATAT